CATATATGTACATGCGTGTGTTGAACGTCTCATGGGAGAAGTCTCATGGAGAGAATCTTTGAAAAATTGACACCACACCACGGGAAGTATTTCAACGAAAAATTAAGATCAGCTTTGTTGCAGACAGGTGCTTCCCTTGTCCTGTTGTCAGTTATCTTTACTCAATAGGATTCGAGACAAAGTTTTTTCAAAGTGAAAAATGTGAAATTGCGAATTCAGAGTGTTGAAGACTTATTAAGTACATGTATGTACTGTACATTGCATGCATTATGCACACATGTTTTGGGGCATATATTTGACACTGGTGAAACATATCAGTAGAAATTCGTAAGTTAAAAAAATAAATACTGTACCTCTGACATGTATAGGTGGTATGTATGGCAATTATTTAACCTTACAGTTGTGTGTTGTTGGTACATGTACATGTACTGGAGCAGTTGTTGAACTTTGAAATATTTTGCCCATTTCTTATTGAGGACTACAAACTATGGACGTGTACCATGGGAGGTCAGCAACTAGTGGCAATCCTTGTCTAAACAAAGCGGCATTCTCAAGTCTAGGGGAAATGTTAAGCAAATGGTTTAATCCGAAACCAGGAACCCTGCGTTCATCTAAACTGATGTGGTTTCCTGCCTTCATGTGAGGCTGAACGGCCCAGAAAAAGACAGAAAGAAAAAAAAGCCCAATTAGCTTGACACGTTGTGTGGGTGGACGGGCGTAAAAATTGGGTCACACCCAATTGAGAGCTACAGCTACAGGCAGAAGAAAATAAATTTCACACTGTGTTCGCTGCAAGAGCAGGTCAGTTCCAAGGTGTGTGGCTATGGGTTTTGTTCGCAGTGAAATTGCACCGGAAGCTCTTCTCTGAGTTCTGCATTTATAGCTTAAATTTCTAAATTTGTTTTAAAATTTTTGGCTAGAGGGCTGTCCGAGAACTCGCTGTTGGTAACGGCAGGTTAAACAAGACTTTCTGTCTTGGCAAGTTTACTGGAAGCTCTCATGTTTCAGACATTGCAGTCAGACGTTGTTGAAAAGGTGGAAGTTTTGTTTACACCTGCAACATAGATTGGAGAAGTTGGAGGGAAAGGTCGTCGCTGTGAAATTCTCAGAATCGAGTCACGTAGAGCATGGCAACTGTCGGTGACCTTTTTGATCAGGCAGCTTTTGTTGGCGTCAGAAGTAAGATCAATTGATGACATTGTCTTAGTGTCCTGGAGAACTTGCCTGTCCCTAAAAAGGAAACTTGTTCAACAGTCCCATTGCCGCTGCTGTTGTGTTCATGGTAAATCAAGAGGTTAAGGGAGATTGGACGCACTGTTTTGATTCACCGAAAGAGCTAGATTTCCCCCAAATTTTAAGTTCTCAAAAGATTTTTTTTTTATTATTATCCCAGACTTCCTGCTATTTTGGCCAATTGAAGGTTCATGGATTCTAAGAAGAGGAAGAATCAACGGTTTGTCCAAGTGCTGTCCAGATCCTCCTAGTCCTCGCATTAGGAACTTGTCAAGGACTCAACAAGTTTCTATGTGTGTTTGTGTGTGTTCCTTCTTCTTTGTTGCCACTTAGCACTAGAAACTGTGTATTGGAGCACTAGGTCCGTTGGTGGTGAGATTTGACACCGACTGAGCTGTTGGTGATTCATCGATGCCCTCACACAGAGACGCCACAGCCTGCCACTGCAAAAAAAAAAAAAAAAAACCACCCCAGCCGGCGGTGCGCTGGTTGCAGTACCTCACTGGATGAACTGAAATAACCCAAGCTGTGGCTATTCCTGGAGTGAGCGGTCTAAAACAGTGCCGCGCCGAGGGGATTTGGGCGCTATTTATGGCACAGGGGGGCTAGGGTTGTGTCATGGATCGTGTTGTACTTATGGGGGAGAGTTGGTTGGGAGGTGGTACATGTACATTGTGCATTTATCTGTATGAGCAATGCAAAGACATCTGGTGTTTGTTTGAGGAAGGGATGGACAAATCCCTGTGATCGCACACTGCAGGTACCTCGGCAGATTTTTTGGGGGAAGACTTTCTGCAAAATTTAGAATGTTTCTGTAGTTCATCACTGATGACAGTTTTGCCTGAACTGTGTATGGATAATCGTAATGTGAAATTTTCACACAAGACAGGAAAAGATGTAGGTGTAACCTGCTTGATGTTTACAACTTTGGGTACTCTCGCTTCAGCTTAACCATCCTGCTTTCAGAACAGCAGCGTATAATTTATTGATTTCAATTTGTGCATTGCCTGCAGCTTGATTTGATACCGAGAGTTGTCCAACTGGAGAAATGGATGTCTCTTCGTTTGACCATTGATCAAAAGCTAGTCGAGACAATATCCGGTCAGCAGTTTTAGGGATGTGCAGAATCGTCTATTCTTGTGTGTGTGTGTCAGAGGGGGTATGTTTCAAAAATCTCCCATCATTTTGTAATTACAATTGACGTCATTGACAATTTTCAAAGAGATGTCAAGGGTAAATACGTGTAGACAGCCAACCAGGGTGGAAAATATTCACTTTAAGGTAGAAAATAATACATTTATTGGGACCTGTCATGCCAAGACCTACTTCTTTCTTCTTCATGAGCTTGCGGAACGAGGGACTCTCCTGACTCACAACAAGCAAGAGTTTGGCAGATACCACGACAGACCCTGGGGGCGTCTGTCTCTAGATATGTCTGGAGGTGTGTGTCCATCCAATACATTATTATGGTTTTTCCCAATGCATTGTGGGCAGTGGGTACTCTGTCACAAGACCCACATAATGGGACATGGGGAAGGGTGAACAGCTTTTTAAGGAAAGGGGGGTTGGCCCATATGCATGGGGTCATTCTAAGGGGAAGGCAACGTCGCCAATGATAATTATAATGGGACACATTTACCAATTTCATTTTATCACCAACAGACTCCCAATATTCTGTGTAACATATTGTCCCAGATTCGTGGACCCAGAAACATTTCTATGAACATTGGGATCACCAGGAGTTTTTCCTGGAGAAAGGGGGAGCAAATCACTCGTTTCTGGGAGAGGGGAGGAGAGGGAATTTCAAGGAAATGGATAAAGTACCCATCAGCTGAGAACTGCTTAACAGTTAACAGTGGAAAGGGGGTAAATTTGGAGGTTTTCGGCAAGTAAATTGGTAATTTTCATCCACTTTCATCTGTTTTTCCCCATTTCTTTCATTTCTCCCTACTTCCCTCCCTTATAATTTTTCAAATTTTTTTTTTGGGGGGAGGCACCCTTTCCCCACACCCATGCCTGTGAACCATCTCAGCTCCCTGGGGACTAAACAACCATTGGTGCAATCATTTCAGGGGCTACCAGGTTTATCGTGTACAATTGAAACCAACTCTGCCCCGTCGCAGGTGCCCATGTAGATGTACACCCTCTGGTGGAGAGAACAAATGAAATGACTTGCCCCAGGTCAGAAGACATGCCCCCGTTGTTGTAGGATTCGAACCCTAAACCTATGGATCAGGAGTTACACAGACAAACCTTAATAACTACCAGGCCAAATTTCCCCGCAAGTAGTATTGGCTGCAGGTTTGGGCATCGAGGGCTGCAAGAGAGCTAATGTGTACATCTGTACCGTTGAATCAGGTTCAAATGCTGTTGGTCTTTTCCAACTTGCTTTTTCTCAGTTTTTCAAATTTGTGAAGCTTGTGTGCTTTTGCACTGCTACAGAAAGTTCTACTAAACTTAGAGCCTACATCTGAAGCATAGCCATGATGTACCACAGACGATCTGCCATACACATATATGTACATGTATGTCTGCCACAAACAATAATTATGAGCGACATGCAACTCGTTGGGACCATTGAAATTATCATAAAACACAGAACAAAAACCAATTCCTACACAAAGATTGTTTATTGACGGTTTCCTTGTGGAAAACAGCAGTGTCACATCCTAAACTCTGAGCAGTGACGAAGTTAACTGGAGGCCAGAACAGTTTCTTGTGTGGCAACCTGTCCTTGTGTGCTTGTGGCCAAATTGGTGGTATTGTACTTGTAGGATGGATCCAGCCTTAAACATGCAGTACATTTGCTCAGTACTGAAAGAAAAACAGCAATGTGACTTTACACCTTGAATCAATGATAGCGTTATTGGTGTAATTTCAGCCCGACCAGGTTAATGCATTACGACACAGATACACATTGAGAGACGAGAGAAGTAAAAAAGCAAAACCAAGAGTTTAGAGTTTAGAAGTGTTATGTTCGTGCAGACTAAGCCAAATGGACGAAAATCAACTTTCACTTTAATAGACAATCTTTATTTTAAGAAATAGATTTGTGTGTTGAAGTTCTTTTTATGTCAGACCAAAAGAAATAATGTTGACTGTTTATACCCCATTAATTCAAAAGTTCAGTCCTCTGAAGTGAATCACAAAGATGATTAGAAATAATAAACCCTGCTTTTTTCTACGTAGCTCATGCGCAGTGTAATGTACATGTAATACGGTAGTGTGCTGTTGACAGAGGTTAAAGCACGTGAGGGGTTTTACTGACTAGTCAACACTGTCACATTTAAGCTGGAAATTAATGTTTTGTTCACAAGTTAAAGCATAACCGTTTATTTTACATCACGGTTTTCCACCAGCTATTGGATTGATCAAGAAGGGCCAGTCTGTATCCATTTATATTCCCACTATGCGGAATTCATAATTTTGTGTCACACTGAACTGGATGTAACATTTTCAGATGCAAAAAAATTAAACAGGGATGCAGACTCGCTTAGTCATTTTGCCTTGACTTTTGTAATTTTGAAAGAAAAAAAAAACAAGACAGACCCTTTATCCAGCATACCGGTAGTGTGCCAGATTGGGGAAATTTCATGAGGAAACAGAAAATATATATGTTTCCAGAAAACTCATGAACCAAAAAAAAAACAAACTACTTTTGTTACTGGTGTCTTTGTTCATTTAGTTTTCTGCTAAGTGAAAAGTTCCAGTGCCAATGAATGCTGATATTCAACTGGTGCTATTGTATCTTGTCTGTTTGTGTGCAGTTGCTGAACAAGAAAGAAAGTAAAGGCTGTGAGAGTCCGGACCAAGATGTTGACGCTTACAATTGTACGTTGACACCCCGCACAGAGGCCAAGTACAGCAAAATCAATGAGGAATTTGACCGAATGATGAATGGGAACATGGCCAGGGTGAGTTGCTGGTTTCTGAAGGTGGTTTGCATTGAGACTTGCAGAATCCAAGCTTAGCCGAAGCTACATGTACCGTCCATTGAAAGACCTTGGACTCCTGGGATGCCAAGGGTTTATCTTGTTGAGCTTTGGCAAGGCTGACTTAATCTTTCACAAGTCTAATCACAAGACCAGTCACAGGACAGGTACATGTAAATGTACCAGTTGGGTGAAGTATTACAAAGGAATGCATTTGCTGTAGTCAATTTGGAATAGCTTGTAGCTTGTCACTGGACGTGTGACTTGGCCTGTGGTGGGTTTGTAGGAACTTGACTCAACTACATCGCCTTTAATCCTGTTTTCCGAGTGGTTAGTAAGCCTTCGACTGAGGAGAGAACTCTCTACAAACTTCTGTTATGTGTATTGGAAATGATATTCACAACCATTGTCTGACCACAGCCAAAGAGATTCATCAAACGTTGCCAGAGGACACAATGATCGTACTGTACCTGTCGTTCTAAACACATAATATGAGACTGTGTTTGGAAAATGTACATGTACTGGTACATCGGTATGAAATGTGTTGCGGTGGCAAATTGCTGTTACCATTTCCGTTGTTTTGGTTTTTCGTTTTGGTTTGCAGGGGCAAGCGATGTCCAACAGCTATCCCACCTCCATGCCAGTTGCCATCCCCATCACTGACCAGCAGCAGCAACAGCAGCATCAACACCAACAGCTGACCACACCGCATCTGTACAACAACAGCCCCCCGAGCCAGCCGGCCATGGTCAGCAGCCCCCAGCTGATGCAGCCCCCGGCCACGGCCCCTCGGCAGAGCCTGAGCCCCCAGCCCCCCATGTCACGGATGAGCCTCAGCCCACAGCCTCCCCAGCAGCAGCAGCAGCAACAGCAGCAACAGCAGCAGCACCACCACAGCCCGCACATGAGGACCAGCCTAAGTCCGCAGCCCAGCATGATGAGGAATACCATCTCGCCGCAGCCTCCTCGCCCTGCCAGCACAGGTTAGTCGCCCTTCCCAAACCGAAAGGGGTCAGTGATAGTTTGATCCTGTTCATTGTTGGTACTTGCTGTCAATGCCCACTTTTCCTAACAGTCAAAATGTGCTAGAGACTGCGTGCGCGCTACACTAGTGCACACCCCAATACAGACTGTCTGACCGTCTGTTCCATAGTTCACTACTGTCTAACGGTGGATGATTCCAGTTTGACCCAGATTCCACCGGCCGACAGCACAGCGTGTCTTAAAGAGCTGCAATTGGCACCAATCACGTAGAAGACGGTCCAACACATTTTCAGTCTTTGAACATTTCAAAGTAACACTTGATCGACTGTGTTCTGCCAGAAATAGCCTTCTCTCAGATCATTGCTATGTACCACTCAGGATTATTGATTAGATGTCGTGCAGGGTTGTTTATATGGTCTCTAATAACAACTGCTTGCTCCCAAAGATTAACATGCACTGTACTGTCTGTGGACATAGAGCTAGAGCTAGATAAATTCTTCGACTTGCATCCTTAGCAGTTAAAAACTTGCTCGTTCTGATGCGGTAGGCATTGCCATAGTGTGAAATTGCAGCCTAACACAGGCTAACCTAGACTGTGACGAACCCCACGAAACCCGCTAAAGATCCACATTGTTTCTGGAGAACTGTATGCACATTCTAGCAAAACACTTAAAAGAAGCTAGTAAGTGTTCAATCAAAGAATGAGTAGACGGCACACCATGACACCTCCGTGTATTCACCTGTTCACCTGACAAGTTCCAGATCATGCCAAATTGAAATCAGCCATCATTTCAGTGTGTGTATTTTGCTTGTATGGGAAATTTGGTGTTACTAATTCAGTGGTTTCTAGCAGGGGCAAGCTTCTCTCTTGGTTTTTTTAGTTACCTTTTTTTGCTCCTTAATGTTTGTTCATAGAAACCGGTGCGTACTGTGTCTGCCACGATCACACACACAATAAATTAGTTCATTTGGGCATCAATACCACCTCACGCCAGATACAAGTATGATGTTCAAATTTTTATACATTTATTTTGGAGGGGGGAAAAAGGTTCCTTGTTTTGGACAAGTAAATGTTTTGTTTCTCTCTTTGCATGAACTGAGGCAGTGGCGCAACTTTTTCCGCAATATTTTTCACTATTTACATGTAGCTGAGAAATTACATGCACATGTAAAATTTGATGGGTATTTTAGCTTAATTCAGGCCGGAGGGTCTATTTTTTTTTATGGAATTCTGCTTCAACATGCTCCATTGCATCGGGGTCGTTTTTTTGTCAGCAGCATCATCGTTACATCCCAATTGGCTCCACAACCAGGAACCTTTGTTTTCCTACGCTAGCCTGGTCACCTTGTTTCTGTTGCATTGGACAAATGTGGCTTCAGTGGCACTTTTTTGTGTGTTTTTCCATCCGATATCTCTCTCCACCTCTCCATGCATGTCTATCCAATCAACCAACCGGGGACCACCTGCATAATGTGCTTGCCATACACACTCATAACCCTGGCTGCTCACTGGTACTCGGCATGTTGCGATCGGGTTCCCCCTCCCCCCCAGGCTGCTTGGTCAGCGTTAGCGAGGACCCCGACAAAACAAACGACAGAGACAAGCCGACCAACTCTGATCAGCGGGAAGCAGGTAAGGCAAGAAAAGGAAATGAACTAGCGGGGGAAAAAAACAGAAAATAAAATTTGAAAAAAAACAAAAACAAAAAAAACCGCATCATTGCTTACACTTCACTCAGGCCATTGCATTTTCTGTGGGAATTTTGGTATGTGGTTCCACTTCATTGATTTGGGGTTATATTTGTCACACCATATAACCATGTCACGGTGTATTCATAAGCTGACAAATCGGGTTCATCAAATGGCTATTAATATGAATGCTGTGTTGAGCCAATGCGTCCTGGTTCGACTCTGTTGCAAAAAAGTAGGCCACATTAACAATTCTGTTTCTGCTTTTTATGGAGAGTTACTCGTGTTTCTTGTTTGCCCTGAGTATTGCGTAGAGTTGAATGTGACTCTTTGTCTTTTTTAATTAAAAATTTTCCCGGCATTTTTGCATATTGTCCACTTGTTTGCCACTGAGATATGCCTTGTGTTCACTGGATCGAGTCTGTCCGGTAAGATGTTCCCCAGATGTATGCCCTTGACGTAGACAATCTGCATGCCTTTGCAGCTGAACACCCATCTTGTGGAATCCTCGACCTCTTGCACGTCCTTGGATTGAACCAACAAGCACAGCATTAGAACAGCTTGCATTTCAGAACAGCAATTTTTTTTTCTCCGTTGGCAATTTTTGACTCTTGAAGATTCAATCTTCAAAGTCTTTGCACATGAAATTCCATTTATCTTCAAAGGGAGATGCTGTTCCTTCTTCAAACATTAATTATGTTGATGTCAGTTTTTTTCCTTTTTGATTTCTCCATCTTTCAGGTAACACGTACCTGGGACCTCCTCACAGCTCTAGCGGCATGAGTCCAGTATCGCCCAACGCTGGGACCAACAACAACCTCCCACTGAAATCAATGAACAAGCAGCAGTTCCCCCATCGACCTGGGCTCAAGGTTGTCATACCAACAACGAGACCTGGCCTACAAAATGTAAGGGTTGCAGCCGACTTCTTTTCCTGCGAAAATCTGGCTGTTTTAACACGATACTGGTCAATGCAACTAGCAACCTGTGCTTCCCTCTCCATGTGAAGTTAAATAATCACATTGATTGTGAATCCATGTTGGCTTACGTATGGCACTCTGATGTGCACCTATTAAACTTGTTCCAATTTTGATGTATAAGGAAGCATTTTGAACCAGTTGATGAACCGCAGAAGTTTTGGCACAGTGAGTATATTGGTTCTGTTGTCCCGGGTGACTTCTTTTGATGAATGAGACTTCTTGCAAAAAATAAGACTTCTTGCAGACTCAATCATATTTACTTATTGTTCACAGTTGGGAATGTCTGGTGCAACATCCAATTCCTTGTCTGGCACACCATCTACAATTTCGTCTGACACACGGCTTGACACCCTGTCAGATGCCCCCCTCCCCCAAAATACCATTGGATATACAAAATTGAAATGTTCAATTTTCTTCTCTTCTCCTCGCAAATCAGTATTTAAATCCTGACGTGAAAGGCCACTTTAACAGCGTGTGTTTTATTGTTTGTTTTTTTTCCCTCAACGACATTGTAATAAAGGTTTTCCTGTATGGGCTCTTGGCTATCAGGTCCATTTTCTGTGAAATAACTTACACCCACGCTATAACGAGCTGACTGTTTATTCTAACAAAAAAGGCTACATCTGCATACTGCAGAAGTGAAACCACTCCTGTGTCTTTTAATGAACATCAAGTTGTCCTTGTAATATTATTACCTGAAGACGTTGAGAATACAAAAGAAAATTGATGACTTTTCAAAGAGGTCATGTGGCTCATAATTATGATGTGTTCGTAAACTTGGTTTCATTCAAGCAACAAAACTTCCAACATCTTCAGTTTCACAGAGTATCACACGCCACTAAGGTTTAATGCTGTGGGATGGCCAATTAGTAATCAGCGTGGAGGATTGAGATGACGAATCAGGAGTAAAGAAAGTTTGCCAGAAGATGAAACTGACGTCATACATTGCAGCCCATGCTTTGTTTACTATATTCCTGTTCTAGACCACCCTTATGCTTCGTATCCTTTTAGCACTTGTGTGCACTCTGAGTATGGTGTCTTTTCTGTTTTTGTCCACAGAATGTCGGAACGTCTCTCAATCAATCATTAGCCACACCTACGGTGTCATTAACTACACCCAGTAATCCTCAAGGTGTCATACCTAATTACCCATCAGCCCTCCCAACAGGATATCATCCAGGTGAGACAGTTGAGCAGTCGGCCAATCAGAAGCAATGCTGTCCTGAGAAGTATAAGAAGATGGTATCATAGTGGTCAGTTAACCCTGACCCTTCTAAATCCTCTACAATCCTCCAGGCAGTTTTGGAGGATTTTGGAGGACTGAGAAAGAATGGCAAAATTGCATGACTGAATGCAAAGGGTGCATTGTCTCAAGGGTGTGGGCTAGATAGTGTGTTGTGTATGCTTGGCCGTGCTTAAGTTCATACCGACATTATATGTGAAATCCTCCATACTGCTCCAAGATACCATTCGCACTGCATGAACATAATGACAGGAATTGCCGCAAGATTTTGAAGGATTTGGGATGTGGGCACCCCTCAATGGAGCATATTCAAGAAAGATTTGGGGATTTTGGAGGATTGAGGCAGAATGCAATTTTTTGCAAGGATAATCGGAGGATTTTGAAGGATTGAGGAAGGTGCCTATGGGTTAGGATCTAGGGGTTAGAAGAGTTCAAGATTAAAATGCACTTTTACTCAGAAATTGTAATTCCTGACTGAAAAGCTAGCTTGTATTTTTGCCCAAATGCATCAGTATCTTCAGTACATGTTGTCATGCCCAAAAAAGATTAAAAACCAATATAGACGAAAGGAAAAAAAAAACTGGAGTGACCTCAGTCTTGAACTTGTAACATGTGTATATGCCATTGCAAAAAAAAGAAGAAAAAAAAATACAGATTGATTTTACTAAGCAATATTTTAGTTCCATTTGGCACCACAGCCAATTGCCACCATTAACCCTAACTCCCTGGGTTGATTTACTAGTAAAAACCTTCCTCATCTTTGTAAAACTCAACACCAGGTTGTTAACTGGGCACACAAACAGTTGGACGCATTTTATTTATGGGACGCCTAATCCCACATAAAAACACTACCAGTACACCACTGCATTACTCATCCTAACAGATTCCAACAAACCCTGATGGTGGAGTTTAGCCAGTTGCTGATCATTATGGTTAATGTGAAGAAGCATTATGCGCATTTACACATGTACCTGCAATTTGGCAATTGGAAGTAACTTTTTGTGTCTATGGGTAGCAGCTGCCGCCACTTTCCATCGATGCATATTTTACTCCAAACCTCAGTGAGTTGATTTAGACACGGTTGTTTGTTTTTCAAGCAAGAGATGCGCCCACCATTTTACACAGTGCCCCCTTCATCTGTGAGGCATGCTGAAGCTGACCGCTCTGCTTTCTGTACTCCCCACCCTTGTTCAGGAAGCGAATTTCAGTTGACGAGTGCCGACCTCAACCAGATCAACTTTAATTCACCCAGTTCACTGTCATTAGCCAGCTGGCAGAGCCAGTCGACGCAGGCAGGGCCCCTTACGGCAGCGATACAGGCTGCAGGAATCGCTGGCCATCCGCTGTGAGCTGATATTTGTTTAGTTTCTGTGTGGTTAATCGTTGATGAATAGTTCGGAAGGCACTGTGCAATGGGCTGGGTTGGGTCTTGCCTGAGTATTCTCAGTTGAAAGACTGCATCAAGCCTGGCAGAATATTTCAAGCAAATCTTTGTTTGTGCAGTGTCCAGAAAAGTGGATTCAGAAGTTTGTAGAAAGATAGCAGGAAGGGTTTCTGTGGTAGTTGAACAACTGCACTATTTGGGAGAGGGTTGTCATCAGATTGTGAACATGTCCATACCACATTTTCCAACCCCACACATTACTGCAATGGAAGAGCACCACCTTGATGTAACATGACACACATACCACCAGGCGTCTTATTGTAGTGTACTGGCATACTGTATACTGTTCCGTGTTGTAATGTAGGATTCCACTAATTGAGATATTTTATTCACACACTTTCCTATAGCAGTGCTGTAGTTCTTGTAGTATCAGTGAGTGTATCACACTGAGGAATAAGGTTTTTTTTTTTTTTCTAAATTGAGAGATCTCATGTCCAGCAACAACCTTCCATCTAGGACATCAACACTCACCAATGCATCGAATTGTTCCAATGGAGGAAAGCAACATTTACTTAAAATGCATTCCATTGTTTCTCCCCTAAACACAGGAGCGTATCCACTTCGTCCATGCCAGGGCAGAACTCCTTCACCACCTCCACAGCCATCAAGTGCGAACCCCTGTCTCCTCCTAGGGATCGAAAGCTCAACCCCCAGATGATGCCGCACCAGCCTAGTACCTCCCCCGGGCCTTCCAACAACGACCCCAACGGCTCCCCTCCTTACAACGACCACGGAGGCCGGGCCCTGGTGGACAAAGACCTGCCACCGTCCAAGAGGCCGAGAATATCTGAAGCGTGGGTTCGGTGAACAGGTCACCCGTCCCATGTCCTTCTCTGGCCTTTATTATTATCAAGCTTTTTAGGCAGTCATCTCCAAACCTGCCTTTCAGGTTATGAGGAAGTCTCATTTTTAAAGATTTTTATTTCTTCTTGATGAGGGGGGCCCCTCGTTTGCAGTTGAGGATGAGCAGTGTGTATGAATCAGAGCTGTGGGTCTTTTCTTGCAGTAATCACGAGGAAGCCTGAGAATTTCCACCACAAATTGATTTGCTGTACCCTGTATGGATGGAGAGTAACATTCAAACCTGTTCAGTTCAGTACTCATAAGACACCCCTGGTTTGAGGTCTTTCTGAGATTACCTTGAGTACTCGATCTGACGGTTCAGGAAATTCCAGAACTGCAGTATCTGAAAGGGAGAAATATCAGCTGGGATGTCTCGAGTATGAAACAGAAAAGGTGAAGATAGATATAGTTGTTGGGGTGAGGCACAGCGTGTGCTTAAACTTGTCACTAATGGCATTGCAAAGAATTTTCTTAAAAAGACCCACAGCTTCTGAATTTATCTTAACCCAAGTCACGGTGTTGTCTTCGGGTCGATCGCAAGTCTGTCATGGGTCAGCCCGCCAGTCCGTTTCAAGTCAAATTTACTTGTCTTGTTTAGGTAAACAGGTAATGAACATTTAAAAAGGGATGCCTTTGTCATAATTCACTTAAATAGCTTTTGACTTGTCTTGGAATTGGTTGCCTCCGTGATGGCCTCCTAGGGACTTGTGATGGGTGCGTCTGCTGCACTGGGTTTCTTGTCTTCTTCTGCAGTCTATTAATTTCACCACTTCCTTTTTTGAAGGGGTTCGGGGTGACTTAAAAAAAAAAATTTGACTGCCCAGATTTCTTCCGATAGGCTGAAGACGCTGTAAACTATTTGTTCGTATGTTTTTGTAATCTTGGGTTCGTCACTTTTGTAAACAGTGCACGTAACTTGTATTTTGTGTGGGTATCTTGGTGTTATGGTATATATCTGCACAATACAGTTGTCTCTGTCATTATCGTATCATTTTTGATGTCGATACACATATAAGGCTGCACAGTGCACGCAACCAATATCTTCCTAACACCCCTTGCCCCTCAAAAAAACCAAAAAATTTACTAAACAGAATGTTTTGCAAAAATGGCGTATAATACCCGTTTTTCTAATTTGTGGACGTTACGAAAGTTTTGCTTCTGTTTAGTACATTTGTCTTGTGGCTGTGCCATTGTAACCAGAATTTGGTTTTGTTTTTCTTTTTTGGTGATGTGATTCAGATTTGTATTGACTTTAAAAAACTTATTTTTAGAGAGACCATTATATTCAAAAATTTGTACACAAACGATTGGGGGCTGGGCCCCAACATGATTCTTTGGGTTTGTTTTGGGATAAAGTAGACTGCATTTAATCACCAGCAAAATATTTTATTTTTGTTGAAATTTGTGACAGCTGTACATTAGGCTTATTAAACAGATGAATGTATACATTTGTGTCTCTAAATTTTGCAACAACTCTTATGGAACTTTGTGTGTTGAAACAACGTGTATACTTATGTTTTCTGCAAAGGTGAACTTTTTTTTTCATTTTGAATTTTCTCTTGGATGACTTTGTGTCTGCTTGTGACACACTCTTCAGTTATTTGAAACAAAAAACAAACACAACAAACTTACATAACATAGAAGCTTCCAGCCTTTTGACAAGAGTGAAATGTCCGGGCTTGCACAGTATTTACATAGGAATACCAATTTATGTAAAGGTATGCAAATATCTAGAGACTTTCCACAAGTTCGCTTATTTTCATTGTAGGAATCACAAACCCTCTCTACGAATGTCTTGTGAACCATTTATGCATATTGGAATACTCGGTCAATAGCATATTTTCGATTTTTTTAAAAAATGAGTCAGCCTTGTTTAGTCAATTGCATCCTTGGCTTGTTTGACTTGGTGCATTTTGTGTTGTACAAGACAGTTCCAATGTTTATTATTTTGACTTTATTAGCTATTTTAGATTTTTATTTCAAATGGATGTTCTACCTATATAAATTGTGTGTATATACTCTTCAATTAACTTAAGAGGACTAGGATGCTGTTTTTCTATACAAAATAATTATTAAAACAAAATAGCAGACTAGTCAAATACTTTCTAAAAAAAATATAAAATTTAACAAAGCTACATTGAAATAAATGATTTTTTTTTTAAAGAACTGGAATATGTTTTTAAGATCAGGGAAGATTGGTTTGTAAGCAGCTGTAGAAAGACGTGTAGTTTTCTTTGAATACAAATTCAGATCGGCATGATTTTCAATATTCAATACATTTAAAAGGAAAAAAATATCTGTACAAATATATGTCAAATCCTGGTGCACCTGCAGTTAATAAATACTCATGCCTTGCTGGTAGGAAAATAACATGTTACAAGAAATAGGATGTAAAGGAGGTCAACACCTGGCAGGTTGACCTTCAATTCATTTCCCCACAAAGTTACTTTCATTTTAGAAGGCCAGATATTTTTACTGATATATTTTAAGTCCCTGCTTTGAATACGAATACTTTGAGGAATATTAAAGTCTTTAACATTCATCCAAAGTTTGGCACATACATGCCCCCTTCCTCCTGAAAAAAAAAGCCTTTGGTCCGGAAAATTCATTAAGCATGTTGTCATAACATCAAAAACAGGTGTACAGGAAACAGAAGGAAAAGGAAAAAAATACTACAGCTATTTTCTTACTAAAGCACAGATCTAAAAGCTCTATTGAAATCTGATGTATATATACACGTACGACGGGGGCGAGATATTCTTTGCCATTCAACATACCATTCAGGTATATAGCAGGAGAATATCTTATTCACAGAGCTTATATACTGTAATAGTACTGAATATTTTTCTGATGATGGGGATGTATAATTTTGCTGTACATAATTCCAGAGGGGAGTTGTTTTGTTGTCATTAAGGCATTGTGATATTTGTGTGGCTAGGCTGTATTTTTGTTTTATGAAAGTGGCAGTTTGAGGGAGAAAAGAGAACTTTTGTCATTATTTTGGAAGTTGGTCATCGGTAACTGGATGGTTCAGTCAGTGTTTTATTGACACCGAAATAGAGGTGAGGCTGTATTCAACTTAAATGGCTACGGATGGAATCCATATGTCTATGAGAAATACAGGAAGCCACTAGCTGATGGCCTCCACTGACATATGTATTATTTCAAGCCGTAGCCAAGTATTTTGGACATGGCCCAACAGGTAGTCTTCCTGGGTGGAGAGAACGGTGAATGGCTCAAAATTTTGACAGTCTTCAAAACCAGGTGGTTGGACTTTACTCCCTCTTTCTTCAATCCTGAATATCCCCCGTACCTTGACCATAAATCCAACTGTAGCCCTGCCAGTGGTCGCATTAACATTCTCCAGTGTTATCCAATTCAACTGTCGCAGCCTATTTGACCAAAGACACAGCATGTCACTCTTTACCGCTTTGCATTGTGGGAGGAAGCTTGGTGATACTGAGCTGTCACAGTCATATCACGTTTCACGGTTACTGTTCTTCAGCTCTCTATTGTGCATGTTAATGGTGGCATGGTTCTGAGGTTGTCTGTTCACTAGTTGACTGTCTCTTAATACCCAATTTATCACCAAATCAGTTTCATTGAAAAAAACTGAACTATCATTTTACAGTATTCCTCTAAATAAAAACTTCAGTGCAGTCTCGATTTCATCACTGGAGCTGAAACTTACAAAATGAAAGACCCTACTATACTTACGCAGCGATCCCTCCCGGCTCCCATGATGCAATACAGTAAAAGACTGACACTATGTTGTATGGGATCCATTTCTGCCACATGCGTGCCACTTTGATCAATTGTTTTAGTTATGTACAGAAAGCGTACATTTTGACAAGCACGTAATATTAACTGCATCAGTTAATCCCTGTTGCATAGCGAGTATTGGCATTAGACGCCTACACGTCTGTACAGCCTTCCCAAGAAACACTAAGCGGACCATTTGTTACTCTACCCCCAATATACATTAAACATTCTTTTGCTTGACCAATGTTTGAAGATAGCAATTCTGTAAATACTCTGAAAGGCATTAAAATTGTGCATGCACTTTAAATAAAAAGCTACCTTTTTGGTTTCAATCTGCAGTGTGATTACAAGCATCTGTAGCTCTGTAAGAAGTAATGTCGGAGCTCTAATAATAAAGTTCACGATCTTCTTTGCCTCTTTTGAAGACCCCAACTACAATTTCATGTTTTTAAAAGATCTGGACAGCAAAAACAGATCTGGCAAGACCATATAAAAAAGAAAAACATGATCCAAAACTCCATTCTGTTTCAATATGTAGTTGTCTCAGTCCAATCGAGCACAAAAACCACGTAAGTAAAACGCTGTTAAGTTTTTTCCTTGAAGTATTTTATCAATGAAAACCTTGAGAATGCTGTTGTGGCATTTTATGATTTTTCACATCTATATGACCCCACAGGCTGGTTGAGTGCATCCTTATCAGGATGTTAAGACTTGTAAATGTATCTCTATTGTGGGCCTAGTGAAGCACATGACCAGCATGAAATACAAACCACTTTTGATGCATTTGTCCAAACCTCATTTGTTCATCGGCCTTTGAGGACAACAAACAAGAAGAATATACCGGTCTTGTGTGCTTTACTTGTTTTTAAAATGGCGAAAATTGAAGCATCGACATCTCAACAGCGGATTTGAAAAGTTTCCGTTATAAAAATGTGATGTGACAGTTGTCAAATATTGACTGCTTAAATGGAATTGTGAACTTCCTTATTCTTGTAATGGAAGTGAAAAATATTGTAAGCTCCACTTTTTATGCCAAAGGTTTTTGCTGTTTGTTGACCATGATAAATTGTATATTTAATTGTAAACTTGGAACATGATGAACTTTTGGGGTGGCAGTTATTCCCCAAATGAAGACATGGCTTAAAATTATTTGAGACCAAATGCGGGCAACTACTCTGCTCAATGGCCATTGATTATAAATGTTGCTTTCCTGTGGTGTTGAATAAAATTCATGTCATTGTACATATTCCATTTTTTGTTGTTAAAAACGGTACCATCCCCTACTTGTTTGGCATCTTCATGTTATTAGTTTTTCGTTTTATCTTCAGTTGTACAATTTGTTTACTCCAAGATCATAATACACCAGTGCATCATGTCTCATTACATTATATGCGAGTTGAAATGCTTGTAAAAAAACAAAAGGCACAAACTATGTAACGTGTCTGTTTTAAAAAGGTGAATCTTGAAATTAGAGCCTCCATCTATTGAGGGCACTCCACAGAGAATGGTAAAGGTATCCCACCATCTGAATATTTACTGGCCCAGAAGGGGATATTTTTCTTGTGGAAGAAACATAAAGAATAGGAGACAGACTGCCTTGCTCATCATGTTTCTGATGTGAAGAGGTTGGAGTGATTGCATTTGCAACGCCTGTAACTTTTTTTTTTAGCAATTTCTACTTATTCAAGTTTCAGTTGTGTTCCTTGTGTATGAGTGCCAGATTTTTTTCTCTTGTTAATGATGTAGCATCCATCTTGATGCGTCACAAAAGAGGTGCACTCCTTGTATAATTTGTCACCCTTGTCTCAGCAATATGCCAGTGGTTGGCAATACTTCACGCTGACATTGCAGAAGTTAAGAACATCAGCGGTTTCAAGATAAGTTTTGAGGGTAATTTTTTGTCAGGCATGTGATTCCGATTTGATTCTCTCTGAGATGCCTTTCTCTGATTGGTGACCCTACTTTCAAAAAACTAACCAATAAATATACAGATCTTCTATGTAACAGGTTTGACACATGTACATTGAAATGGATTGTAAAATAAAATTTCAAACAAAAATTAACTTCACTCTTGTATTTTAAGGGTGTTGAAGTTTAATTTTGTACTGCATACATTGTAAACAGTGTGAAAACATTAAGAAAAAGACACAGCTAACACGTGATTATTACGTTTGTGTTGTATGGTTAACACTGCAGGCAAGACTAGTTATTGAGAAAATATGTAACAAGATTTTCCAAAAAAAAAATGGAAAATAGGGAAGAGATGTTTTATCAAAAGTAAATACGACTTTTTGTCAAATATACTTCCCAGTATTAATATGGAGATATATATTTTTGTTGGAGTTTTGGGTAAGCAAATTAGTGAGGTTTTTCGAATAGAGTTTCAAAATGCTTTGAATGTTGACTTTATCTGCTTTTAATGACCACTTGTTTGCCTACTTTGTATCATATAAAAATCACTTTGTGGAGTTATTGAAAAAAATTATACAAAAGTTTACCTCAAGATCAGTGTCCTTTGTCATCCTTTGTGTCATTCTTTGTTGTGAAAATGATGAGATCAAATGTTGGACTTTAAACTGTTTCCCTGCACTTCCCCAAACCTTGTGGATCTACAATGAAAGGGAAAGTTGGAGTTGGATACCCCCCGCAAAAGCTGCCTTCAGTACCGAAAACTAGTTATAGACTGGAATACATGTACCCCATCACTGCCTACCACCCTGGCTGCAATTGTGACAATGGAAAGGAGTATAATATTCGGGTAACAGTTAAAGCAAAATCCGCCATTAACCCTTCTCTCAGGTACTGCAACCCCCACCCCACATACACACACCCCTTCAACTTTTTGAAGCCAGGCCAACCTCCTGCACGTCCAAACTGCTGGGACAGTAGCATCAGGATTAGGCCTTAGAAATGTAACGTGTACAATTATAAATATATATGTATAATAATAGAAAAAAAGACCTTAAGTCCCTTGCAGAGGGCAACAGCAGAGAGGATTTGAAAATATTGATCTCTGACTGGCTAACCGACATGAAGAAATAACTCGAATTATCTTACAGCTTGCCAATCAGACTTTTACTTAGTTTTAGTTTGGTTTCAAGAAACTCATGGTGGCGCTATGCAATGTAAACATGCCAAGCTAGCTAGCTAGCTAGTCCAAACCAATCTTTGGTCCAAGTAGACGTGTGTAGCAAGCTGTGGGATCGATCTGACGTGTCTGAGAACTGAAGCTAGTTTAAAAGGGTTTTGACCCGATGTTTAGGACTCTGTGCTGGAATTGGATCAAGATAAATTATTCAATTTTTTTTTTGCAGCAGAAACCCTGAAGTGAAGACAAGGAAGCTGAGTTCACCGACCGCAGACATGGCAGAAGTCACGGAAGTCATGTCAGTTTAATGGAGTCGCCGAGACGTAGAACTCTGGGGTTCGCACAGTTCATCGTCGCCACGTTCCCACCGCGTTCGTCATGTTCGTGGGTGCATAGAGCATGGAAGCAAGCAGTGGGAGCATGGGGCGGCGCGGCGGATGACGAACCCCAGGGTTGTGGGGGGTATTTAAGACCAGCTGGAAAATTTCACATTAACATAAAACGAGTAGGCCCTAAATCATGCATTCCTACCCTAACATGGTGCGGCCCCTAACGTGGTGCACTTTCATTTTTCGCCACTCTTGTCTTTAATACTGGAGCAATATTTTTTTCTCAGATTTCACAATCAGTAAAACTTCATCAAATTCCTATTATTCTGATTCATAAATCCCAGTTTTGTGTATGTGCAAAAAAGTTTTGATGAAATTTTATTTTCACCCGTTTTTCCTAATTTTTTCGTGCGCACAAAATGAACGCTTTTAGAATGTGCTCAAAAACATGAAAAGAATTTGCTGACTCTCATGTGGATGGGTAGGTGAGCAGAAGAGATTATGCTTTACAAGAATTTATCTACTTTAAAGAATTTTGAAAATGTTTATGTGGGATTTTTTAAAGAAGGCACAGCTGAATTTGTGCCCAATTTCCGGACGCCGACATTTGTGGTTTTCAGACGAAATTTCAGGACACTGAAATGTTCCCAGATGTTCAACACCATGTATCAGGAGGGTTATAGTGCCAGTACTTAACCAGATGAGTTTTAAGTTTTTCAGTGAAAAGGTTTGGCAAATGCTGTGTGAGGAAAGTAAAGTGAAAGTCAACGTGTGCCATGTTAGGGGACTCTACGGTACCTCCACTCAAGCAACTCCAAATTTGTAAGAAAATTCTTATTTTGGGGGCACAGTTTAAAAAAATTTATTTTGCATTTAAAAAAAAAATCGAAAAATCAGGCCAAAATCAATTTTCATGGAAATTTTGTAGCAGGTACTCATGACTTACGAATAACAATGTTGAGAGCTAGCTGAAATTTTACTTTTTTTGAAGTCCGAAATAAGCATTGCTTCTGCTGTGTTAAGCAAGTTACTATAGGCAAAAAATCAAAGTGTGTTAGGGATCGCACTTTAGGGGTCATCAGCAATATAAGAGGGGTGTCGGTTTAAAAGTAAGGATTGCCCTAAAAGTCTTACCGGTATAGTGCACTATGTGCGTCCCTACTACATGTATGTTTGGTTTGATAGTCCAACTTATGAATATTGCACATCTACTGAAAGTTTGAACTTGCAATTTATTAATTGAGTGTGTAGCTACCATTCAAATTGACTGAAAAGATTTTCTTGAAGCTGGTAGAGTTTCATAACAATCAAGAAAATAAAACACTGAGTTTGAAGTTCCAGGTTGCACATCTTTACAATATTACGAATTCCTCCACACTGACCTTTTCCAAAATTTCCTGAAAGTTGAATTATCCAAACAGAGTTGTTTCATTACTCCAACTTTTCATTCCCGAATTATCTCTTCCACATAACCACCCAGCTGTTCAGTGCTTTACATTCAGCCTAATATATACCTAATAAATTCTAATCCATTGAATATGACAAAAGTTTTGCCCATTTTTTTTTTCAAATTCCATTCCACAGTGAGCTGAAGTTTACTCCTCCAGTGTCAGTACAGCGTTACAAGGCTGTGAAAAATATGGTCAAAAAATTGCAACCCAAAAAGGTTTGTGCTTTTTTGATTTTTGACTTTGGCTGGTTGTGATAGCTTAGACAGTCCGGGTATCACCAGTTCTGCTCTGCAAGACATTGGATCAGCCAATCAGAGCCGTTGTTGTAAAGTCAATTTCCAACTGAATGGTGATGGAGGATGTTGATTGGTTGAAAGTTATCAGCTGACTTGGCAGACTTGATGTCATCAATGCAATATGTGCTCCAATGTTATGACATGCTGAGAACTGATCAACTTCAAGCTAAGTAATTTCAAGCCATGGTTATCAAGTGCATTCAGCAACATGTAAATGTGAAAGAATTAACCACTTGCTGCCGGGTTGAATTTCAAAATTCTTCAAAAAATCATAAATACTGGACGTTAACACCCACACGAATGACTGTCTGGTGGCTACTCTAATCTGACAAACAACATCTATTGATGCCCGAGTATTTCAGCCAGACCTGCCGCCTTGTAAAAATAGTCCAGATTGTGCGGTGTTAAAGCTTCTTTTGTTCCTGAAATCGGCCCAGTGCGCTGTTGGCATCTTTTCAATACGGGCCAGAATTGGATGCAGTGGTATTCTATTGCTCATCGCTGGAGTACTTGAACACTTTTGTCCCCGGTGGTAATCAGCTTGTGCTGAATACCACAAACAGTGGTATAATCTTTCAAAACAATGACGGATTTCCTCCACTATTGACAATTGAAAAAATGATGGCAATTCCCAGCAGCTCAGTCCTTTGTTCTGAGTACGGTCTTTTGTTACAAGGCCCAGCTCTTTTGTCTGGTTTCAGACTCCCCAGTTTCGTGTATAAAGCCTGTGTGCACGAAGCTGGGCTCCCCGGCAGCCTATCGTTAAGCTTATATGCTTCTATCAAATGTGGTAAATCATATTGACAATCTGGCCATAACAACAGTGGAAGGAAACCCCCCAAACCAGCAAGTTTTTTACCAGATCGCATATCCAGCCCGACCACTTGCATTTGCAATGCTTTCCGTCCAAAGATACGATAGTAGACGCCTGTTGATTTGTTAATACCTTGGGGGCCTTACGAGCTTGTCTCGCATAGTAAATTGTGGAAATTGCATGCATTTCATAGACACTCTTGTGCAAGTGGGCGTTCATTATATAGACTAACTTATAAGACTGATGGAAGTCAAAAATTAAAGGAGAACACCCATGAATATCCAGACAAATGGGGCCCAGAATTGGTCTTCCTTCTATTCTTATCCACATGCTGACTGAGGTGGGATGTGAACCCTGGCCGCAGAGGTGAAAGGTGCATAAAGTACCAGTGTTCCAACTTGACTCCCAGCCCTGGGTTGTAGCTGTCTCCCCGATGTTGGGTTCTTGTGATTTTTAAATTGGCTCTTGCAAGGCGTTTGTGCTTGTGAACATATTCTTTGTTTTCTCTGAAGGTCCTTGACATGGGTTGCGGAGAGTGTTGTTTACTGAGGCAGCTCAAGCACAATGACAGCATCGAACAGCTAACAGGAGTCGATGTGGATGGAGATGTGCTACAGGCCCACAGGTAGCCTACCTGCTCCCAGTGACATATTGGCCATGTCCAAAATGAGCTTCCAGAGCTATGGCTAGGTCTGTTGTCTGCATATCTCTGTGTGTTACAATTTAGTGAAGACCTAGACCTAGCTCTAGACAACAGGTTTGGATGCAGCCACTATTACAGTCAAAGTTGACAGTCGGTATCTAAGACATTTCATTTGGCCAGAGTATTTGACATAAGCAAGGGTAGATCCAGACCCATTTCGTCGGTGGTGGAAGGGGTGGGACAAATGTATTTTTGAGGGGGGGGACAAAAAATTGGGGAACGTTTTGATGTCAGTTTTGATGTCCTCACTGAGGGATGAGACTGAAGTTGGAGACTTTACACATTTTGGCAAGGAAGTGAAATGAAGTACATGTATCCTCCAAAATTGTCATTCTTTATTAAATGAATAAATTTAACCCCCAAAATGTCCTTTTTTGGCTAGGGGACCATAGTACATTGTCTCCTCCTCCAAAATCCATCTGCAGCACAGTTGTTTTCATGGAATATGTTATCAGCTGTGAAAGGTAACAGGGCAGGGTGGTTCTCTGTGGTCACAAATACAGTCAAGGAAAATGCATCACAGAGTGAAAACATTCATATGTACTTTGTAAAACATATCTCCGTTTTTATTCTTTTAGTACCCATCATGTCAGATATGAGCTGATTAAGATTTAATTTGGAAATTTCTCCTTAGAAACACTGGATTTAAAAGCTTTTTTCCTTAAATCTAGCATCTTCTCCAAATACTGATTGGTTGTTTCGCTTCTTCACAGCTAAAAGATTCGCTCTCAACCAATTTATCCCTATGACTGTTGTTTCTGGTTAGATACCTTGCTAAGCCTCTCACATGGGAGTATTTGAATCCTCGATCCCATCCATTCATCGTCAGCCTGTATCAGGGCTCCATCGGTGAGAAGGACTCGAGGATGCTGGGATACGACCTGGTCCTGTGTGTAGAAATGTGAGTCAGATCTTCCAAAACCAGCTCCTCCTCATGGAGTTAGAAGATTTAATTTCAAAATATGATACGTATACTGTGATCCACCAAATTCACTAAAAGTTGACATTCAAGTTTTGGGGTTTCTTGGACGGATTCAAGGTTGTACTGCCTGGCCATTACTTATTTCCATGAAAGGTAAATGTCCTCTTGTTGTTCAAGCACAAAGTGTCGCCGATGGGTCATTATGGATTCTTACAGATTCAGCGAAAATGTTTACAGTAAAGTGAAATGTTTATAGTGCATAGGGGTTAAAGAACTTCCATCCAATTTTATGAAGTAATGCGTGTTTGAAGCACAGTGCTTCGGGTTTAGGGTTTTATTTGTACTTTTGTGCTAAATTGTGTCTGGTACAAAAAGGAAGCTGCATTCATATTTGTATGCTTGCCCTTTCACAACTTTTGAACCAAAGGTGGTTTCGGCATGAGAGTGTCATAGTAATGAAGTTGATATTATCTTCTTTGGAAATGTCTAAAATTACTCTTAACTGGCCGGGGTTGACAAAAGACTCCTTGGGTTGACAAAAGACTCATTGGGTTGACAAAAGACTCATTGGGTTGACAAAAGACTCATTGGGTTGACAAAAGACTCATTGGGTTGACAAAAGACTCATTGGGTTGACAAAAGACTCATTGGGTTGACAAAAGACTCATTTGGCTTGATTGCATCACGCAAGGCCATTACTCCTAACTTGGATAATTTGACTTCTTTTTTAACATTTGACTACATCTTTCTACCAATCTTTTGCTGTCAGTTTTTGTTCCCAATTTCCAGCTTTACTCGTCTCAAAAAACCTCTTTGATTGTATGTGCTACTTTGTTGAATGGTATCTTGCCACACTCAGCATCGAACACCTGTATCCAGACACTTTAGCTGCTGTTCCAGAGGTGATGTTTGGATTCATGCGGCCACAGACTGTTGTTTTCACCACGCCCAATGCAGACTTCAATGTCCTGTTCCCAGACTTCCAAGGCTTTCGGCACTGGGATCATAAGTTTGAATGGAGCAGAGAAGAGTTCCGGTCATGGTGAGTGTGGTGTGGAAAACTTTCTTCTCAATGGAAGTGGGACTTAACCATTTCCTGCCGGGGCAGTTATCAATGTTGATGATGCTGGGGCGGGATATTTATCGTTTTTTTCGGTTTTCAAAATTCTTTGAAAATTCCTATCTTCATTTACTGCACACTTATACCCACTCAAAGAATTATCTGGTCTCCACTCTAGCCTGACAGACAAAATCTATTGACGTCTGAGTATTTCAGCCAGGCCTGCGGCCTTGTAAAAAGAGCCCAGATTGTGTGGTGTTATATAACAGTGCATTGCTGACCTCTTTTTAATAGGGGCCAGATTAGCATGCAGCGGTGCTGTGTGGCTCATCACTGTGGTGGTGGAGTGCTTTTGTCCGTGGTGGTAATCCGCTTGCTTTAAATGCCCCAAACCAAGGCCTTGTTTCAAAACAAGGCTGGATTTTCTCCACTATGGGGAGTGAAAAATGTCGGTAATGCCCAGCGGCCTGGTCTTTTGTTCCAAGTACGGTCTTTTGTTACAAGGCCCAGTTCCCTTTGTCTGAGTTTGGAGACCCCGGCCACGCATATAAAGCGTACGTGTCCGGTACGGGAATTCCCGGCAGGAAGTAGTGAAAGATGAAGGAATGCTCGTCCAAAAGTTGTGTGTGTTATTTCAAATGAAACAGACCAGTTATGTATTTAAAATCCAACTTTGGAAAGAGGTAATGATTTATAGATTAATCCAGTAATCCGAGTCAGAAGCCTTACTGCCTTGGTAACAAGCTGATGCATAGGTGATATGAATGCACCAAATGCCTCTATAACAAGTAAGCTGTTGATTTTGAATTGCCAAAATGCACTTGGCGTTGAGGTTAACGAAAGTGTGGATAGGTGTGGTCCTACCATATTGATAGCATTTCAAATTAGCTTATAGTCTGGTTCAGCTCTTCCCTTTTGAGTCTTCAATGTAATAGACCAAGAACCAAACCTATTTTGCTTCTGTGGTTTGACATAACTTGCCTTCCTTGTTACACATTTGTAGAACCTAAAGTGCTTGAAGCAGATGTAAAGGCTCACACTTTGCTTCGTATACATGTAAAAACCACAAGAAGTGGAAAAAATAGACCCATGTTCAAATGGAATCTGGAATAAAATTCAGGAAAATTGAGCCTAAAGGTGAACATCGAGACCAAACCAGGATTCAGAAATTGCTCTTAATGTAATTGAGCTACATAGGGCCCTCTTTGGTTCATGTTCAGTGTCCATTGGCCCCTCAGTAGAATAGAGTAGATTTAGGCTGTATCTGAGTCATCAAGCTGTGGCTTGGAAATACACAAGAACCTAAGGGAACTGACTGCGGCCACTACCATAGACTTCTCTGTAATTTCTGGCTGCAACCAAGTAATTCGGGCACAGTCTTTTATATTTTGCAAACATCTTCACCTAAACCCCAAATTTGAGCATATGAAGTTTAGATGGTCTTCAGCTGCGGCTTGTCAGTTTTTAATGAGGAGTATCCACTCTGCATCACCAGGGGCAACCAGGTAGCCAGTGACTACGGTTACACGGTGACCTATGAGGGCATCGGTGCAGGGCCTCCAGGCACTGAGCATCTAGGTTGCTGCACACAGATGGCTGTCTTCACTTGCAAGTCACCACCAAAAGAGGGCAGCAGACAGCATGACTGTAGCGGTGAAACACCATACAACCTAGTAAGTGGCTGAAAAGTGTATGTGCTGCCACTGCGTGCTGATTTTAGGATGCTAAGATATATTGGGTGGACTGTCGAAATGGTAATACACAAGGGAATGAGAGCTATTATCAACCTGTGTATGATAAAAAATCATAATGACTTCAGAATGAAGGATGGGTGACTAACTTTTTATTGATTTCTTGACTGTCTCTGGTCTTGCATTACTAATTTTGATCGTCTTGAAAGAAGCAGTGTTGTTGTAAAGTTCATCAAGAGTCCTTTTGCTAGTCCACTTGCAAGTCCTTTCACAAGAGCAGTCAGAACTAACTGAATGAATTGTGACAAAGGAATGCTTTTGTTCCACTCCATTTGAATAGTTTGTGACTTTGCTGAAGATTGTGTGACTTGTAAGGACTTGTGATAGATGGACTCAAAGGGACTCATGATGAACTTGACTCGAAAACTGAACAAAGGTATGTAAAAACCTTTAGGTCATCATGTGAAATCATGTCAACTACCAATTGTTAGGCCTTAACAAGAGTTCTGCCAACACTCACTCCATGGCATATACTACATGCACTTAGGCTGGCTGCTCGACCATACATGTACATGGGGTGTGCTTTGGTATCCGCCCAATCTAAACAGTAGTGCAAGAGATTGGGGGGCTTGATATGGTTTCAAGCCATTGCATGATTAATGATTGCAGTGGGAAGAGGCTTCAAAATTGAAGCGGAATTCAGTGTTTGGAAGTTTTTTGAGGGGGCGTTCAAACTGCCGGCCTCACCCATGCCTCGTAAGTTAAAATCTAACATTGAATCATCTGTTGGTGAAATTCAATCTCAAAATATGTATCTTGATAAGAGTGACCTGATCAAGTGATGTATGGATGTCATTTGTGATGCAGATTTGTGAAGTTAAATACCCACATCGTGCAATCACTACAACACCAGAAGAGCAAATCTTAAAGGAGGCCACTTTTTACCTTCGGAGGTTGTGTCACACGGCCAGGCAAGGCCACTCAGAAGGAGAGAATGGGGGCTCAGACAATTTAAGGTCAGATGATGGAACATTGAAGGAGATTGAGGAGACAGAGGAAGAAAGGATGGTTTCCGTTTCCTTGGAGACACTGATGAAATTCTCCTGCCTGAGGAGAGTCTGCCCCAGTGTTGAGAAACTCAGGTCAGTTGAACACAGAGACAATTAACAGTTTGCACTTTGATAACACTTGCTATATGTTGTATTTCTGTATTTCATATTTTTATAGTGTATGTTATTTTATACATGGGTGAGATTTCAGGATTTTTCCTTGGGATTTTCCCAATTTCAGAATTTGTCAAATGATTTCTTTTAAAATCTGGAAAATCCAGAGTTTGCCGTCAAAGTGTTTTCATCCATAAAAGTTGATATAAAAAAATGAGATATTGATATTTTCAGGGATGCCTTTAGGCCAACACAAATGATACTATAGATCCTGCACTGCTGTGGGACCTGAGACTTTCTGGTGATCATTCCATGGATATTTTGTTTTCCTCCAGTCTCATGCAAACCACAGGGAAAAATAGTGGCCTCGCTGAATCAAAGGGGTGAAAAATCCTTGTTCACAAATTATCAAAGCTTCCCTGTTGTCGACTAAGTGAAAATATGATCTTAACTCGCAGACTCTGCAAAATTGAAGCTCTTGTCACACATTTTTTGACTTAATAACACATCGAGCTTCCATTTTATTCATCATGGTGTGGCTCTCTAGAACACTTTTGTTGAAGCGATATGCATGTAGTTCTCATTTCCACAAAACTTTGAAAGTCTCACTGTTTAGAACAGGCTCTGAAAAGCCAAAACTAAGAAGCAAGACCCTCCCCCCAAAAAGGAAGAAAGTTCCCACACACACAAGAATACTAAATAACGCCTTCTTTAGACACTCCTGTATTATGCTTGAATATTTCATACCGTAACAAAGAGGTCAGTCTGTGTCTTAGTTACGTGGCTGTGGCTGGCACCAATACACACATCTATGGGAAGTGGCCATAGCCACTAGCCAGTCCATGCCATGGACACGCATATAATTCTCAGCCGTGGCCAAGTCATTTAGACATAGCCTCAGCCTGTTTCTGGTCTGGTCTGCGTATCGTGTTGAGGGTGCTATTACAACACTGAGCATGTATATTCCTGGCTCTCCAAAGTTGATCACCTGTGCAGTACTCACTGCATTCAAATTTGAATTAATCACACATAGAACTGGTTGTTTCTTAGTTGTTCAGGGTAGTAAGAAGTATTTTTGTGAGGTCTGTAACACTTTGCAGGCTTGGCTTGAACCTAGAACCCTCACTTAACTAGTAGAGTTGTCTTAACTACTTAATCATCAAGGTTGCCAGGTCAACTGAGTGATTCAAATCTATGTAAATTAGGACTGATGTTGAATTTTTTATTAAAATGCTTTAATTCAGTGCAGCTTTGCTGCTTGTCACTACAAGGTGATTGCCAACTCCTAACTCTAAAATGAATAAAGGACATTTCCTGTGTCTCAGGAAATCAATATACACATTGCAACCCCCCCTTGAGTTTCTTGGTGTGAGTGCAAAAACACCAGGTACTTCATAGGGAAACTCCAAGCACAGAAAGGAAAAGGATTTTCCTTCTTGCTTGCAGTGACTACGACCTTGGTGTCATCTGCTCTGTGTGCAATGAGGGTTTTTTTTATAGACCCATATCAGGAACCTTTGTTCAGCCGAGGTGCTGGCTGGATTTGTCTTTTGCAATGGCGTCACATTGTTGTAGATAGGAAAGTTACTTTCCCTGTAGGTTTCACAAAACTGGAATCTTGTTGAGAAACTGTTGGTTAAGCTTCATGTACATGTACCTGTAACTTAAATAGATAAACTATGTCCATGGCTTAAAAACTGCAACAGGAAGATTTATCAAAATTTATCTAAATTGTTCTTTTTGTCAAAGTTTGTGTGGATAAAAATTATTTGAAGTGATGTTAGATTTTGGATGGTTGAGGGTTGTATTGTAATTTTGTCAAATGTCACACTTCCAGTAGAGATGAGAGTTGTGATTATAAATTGACCTTGTGCAAAATGTTAAAATTGATTTGTTTTCCACATAATAGAATAAAATCCATTCCCAAACTGATAGATAGCAATGTCGTTACAATCACTCAGTCTTCAGCACTCAGTATTTTTGCTGTAAGAGAAAAATAACCATAGCGGTTACTGAGTTTGAAAAATTAACCTGGGATCTATGATTTAAATCAAATCTTGACTTTTGAATTTTACCAGTTAAATTGATGTTGAACTCCTGTCCAAGGTAACGTTTGAAGTTCAAACTCTCCAAATACATGCACCTAAATTAGGAGGCTGCCTCGTACAGTGTCAAATTAATTTCTCATTACAGGGAGGTGCTCACCTCATGTGAGTCCATGTCTGTGTCTGAAGATGGGGAATCTGTCCTTTGCTCGATTGAAGACCATGCATCTGAGAGCGGCAATCAGTCAGATGCGAGCAGTACAAGCGAGACTGAAGCCCAGGTTTATGAGCGATCGGACTCGAAGGAAAGTGATTTGTTGTCATGGCAACAGCAAGAGGAAAGTTGGGATTGGTGAGTGGCTCACTGGGAAAGGATTTATATGTAACACCAGGCTTACAATGACAGACCTGTGCACTCAAACCAGTCATCTTTGATCACCTCTGATGCATGCAAAGTACATGTGTGATTGCCTGCTTTGACTTCTTTCCCTCTCAAAATTTGTTGTCTTTAACCCTAACACTCCTCAGTCCTCCAACAGGTGAAGGATTGGGGGGGTTAGGGTTAATGGGGAGAGTAAAAACATGTGTACATACAAGGCTCATTGCCATTGACACGAAGTACAGCAGTTTGGGGAAACCGAAATGGCAGAAATGTGGCTTTGAGTTGAATAACCCAAACAACATGTAGCAGGCTGTCCAGGAACCATAGCAGTCAGTGATTGAGAAGGTTTTGACCACAGACGTAAACATGCAGACCATCAGATCGTATTCAAAACCATGTCATTTCATGATCTGTGAGCACCCAAAGCCATGGACATATTCAACTTTGTGCAGGGAATGTACTTGCAGTTGAAGATTTTTGGTCATAAAAGCTCTGGAATTGTTTTCCCATTCTGACAGAATTTGTGTGTGTTCTTCATCTGGTTTACCCAGAATCAAAAACAGAGTGTGATCAATCTTTAGAGTGAAGACCTGACATGAAATGAGAGGGGGGAAGTTTACAAATTAGGCAAAAAGCAGTCATGCACATTACCATCCACCATTTTGCCCATATTTATCCTAAACACTATCACGTGCAGACAAGTGATACTCTGTATACATTTTTATGTCCGAGAACAGAATCAAGTTGGTCTAGAAGTATGGGCGATTTCACAATAGTGCGCCACCAAGAGTTTGCAACGCATTGGCCAATCATAATGCGGAAAATTTGTCAACCCTTTCCAAACCCGCATTTGGTCGACAAATTTCGCGCATTGTGATTGGCCAATGCGTTGCAAACTCTTGGTGGCGCACTATTGTGAAACGGCCGTATTGCTGAAGCAGTGAACTTCAGTTTTGTTTGCCTGTACGCTTGCCAGAAAGTCCTACGCCTTATTCTTCACTAGGGTAGATGGGGGGGGGTTTATCCCCCTCCCGCAGAAAAATGAGGATTTTTTTTTATCACTTAAAGATATAGTGTCTTTATGGAGGTTGTTTGTATGGGACTAAGCCATTTTATTCAGGAAATTGTTTCTTAGCAGTGCTTAATTACTGGTGAGATCAGTTGATGTAAAAGTGCACCGGGGACACTGCTTACTTGTTCTGCCCTCCCCTCTTGGGTCTGGATCTGGCCTCCATTCTGCATTTTGTTCTGTGATTTGTCAGTAATTCTCTAAGAACTCATTACAGAGACTGAGAGACCTTGTTACGTTTTCATTTCATGTAACAATAATACTTCTTCAATGTTTCCATATTTGACTTTATTTACAATCTAACTTGTTGACCACTATATCCCTTGCATCCAACCTGACGCATCAGCATCGGTTCATGGTACTTAAATACGGTGAAAATAATTACAGAATTATAGTAAATTAGTTAACCACCTACTTCATTATTGTTTAGGAACATCGGGAGTTTACTTTTTATAAAGTTGAAGAGTTGGTAAACAGCAAAAGTAAGTACAGCTACAAAAATTGACAAAATACAAAATGAGATTGTAAGTAGCCAAAGAAAAAAATACGTGGCCATTTTAAGCTTGGTACTATTTTTGAGTCTTCCCTTAATTAAATTGGATTCTTTTTAACAAATGCACCTCCTGGCCTTAATCAGAATATTTAAAAAGCTTATAATGATGTTCAAAAAAGCTTCATTTCTTTTATGAATATTTATGTTTTTAATAAAAGAATGTAACCAAGTTTGTTACAAGTAAAGAGTTATGAGCAAAATCACAAAAAGCGATTTCAGACTTTTTTTTACTGGTAAGTACATTTTCTAATTCTGCAAAAAAAGGTTTTGGCATGAATGAGTTGGGTTGTACTGCTGAGCTGCATGAAAAAAAATTTACTTAACTCTAGGCTTGTTTTTATTTTGATATTGGCCTAATGTGCTAAAATCCAACAATACCCATAAATACAATAGGAACATTCTTGGTACACACAGGACATCAAGTCCCAAACCATCACTGCAAAACCAGGGCCAATTTCATAGAGCTGCTTAAACGTAAAATCTGCTTAAGCGCAAAAACACTTGCTTAAAAAACGAAGGTTACCAGCTCAAACTCAATCTGATTGTCATGCTAGCCAAAAGACAGCTAAATACAATTCCAAAACACTATACATCACATAGAGCTTTGGCAGGTTACCTCATTTTTCAAGCAAGGTTTTCTCTACTTAAGCAAATTTTATGCTTAAGCAGCTCTATGAAATTGGCCCCAGGTGTTAGATTGGGATAAACTCTCAGTAATGTAAAAGGCTTTCATTGTTACACTGACTCCATCACATGCTTTGACTTCTTGTCTAACCAGTACACATCCTGACCCTTGAGGTAGGAACAAGCATCAACCTGTTATCCCTGATTTTTTCCTACCGTAGATCCTCCCAAATCCTTCACTTTGCATCAAACCAATGGCACATTCTTTGTACTTGAACTTTGAAGGGACACCGAGTCCAAAGCAAATCTACCTTCCTTCGAAACCTGGGAGATTTTGAAGGATCTGGGAATGATAATAGACTGATTGCGCCCGCTAAATCATGAGACTTGTGGGTATCAACCCCATATCAACGTGTGTTTTGAGTATTGTTCACAAACAATACAGCCTATTTACAGTATAGTGCACAGCACGTCAGTAGTCGGCTTTATTTTTGGTAAATGATACTTTCAATATGAAACAGTTTGCTTTTGGTGGACACCATGCTTATTTATATTTCATACTCACTATACGTCATGTGACTTAGCAGGTGCAATCGGTCTATTAACAGGCTACGACTTGGCTACTCAGTTCCTAGTTATACATGTTTATACACCTACGGAAACCACTAGCTATGGACATGTGTATTAATGCCAGTCGGCCAATTAATTCGGACGTGGCCTCACTTCCATGTTATTAATCATGTAGTATAGCGCCCTCTACTGGGTGTGCCCAAGGCAGATGTTACTGGCCTGTTATAAAAACTAAAATATTACACATTCCTTAAGCTTGACATTGATTCCACTGATTTTGAAGGAGGCTTTTCTTAATTTATATTCTACTCCTTTTGGCCATTACTAAAAGACAGAACTGCCACCTAAAGGAAAATGTACCGGACTGGGGGGAACTTTGTGTCCCTACAAAATTTGAGGTCTGCACAATAATTCCTTGCAATGCGGGCGCAGTTCCCGCAACTACAGAATGGGTTTGTGTGTGTGCATATGTACACAGTAATTTGTATGTTTCTAAGACTCAGGCTGCATCCTAATCTCTTGTCTAGAGCTAGGTCTAGGTCTTCGCTCCATTGGAAATGTGTGGAGACGCGCAGACAATAGATCTAGCCGTAGCTTTGGAAGCCCGTTTCGGACACAGCCTTATTTTCATTTGAATGGTTGCAACCATTTAGACTGTTCTGGTGTTCACATGGTTGGTTATATCAATGACCCAAGTCCATATGAGGAATTTGGTATGCTTCGCAAGGCCTAATAAGGACATGGATGCCATTGAAATACGTGTGCATAACAGGCATCTGTATCATGCTTCAAACTCAAGTTTCAAGAACAATTCTCATTACATGTACCGGTAACTAGCTCCGGCACTGGCTTGACCTATAAACAATACGCCACTGAGTCACTGAATGGCTTGAAGGTTAAACACCGCTGGTTTTTCAGGATATCTCGTGCGTCAGTGGCATGACCTGTAGAACCTTCCTGATTGTATGAACTGCAGCCGTATTAACAGGGAACTTTTCATATGGAGATAAGTTCTCTCTTCTTTTTTGTTTGCGTTGTTTTCTAATACAACCAATGCTTGCTATTCCAACTTCATAACTGAAATTCAAACTCGCACAAATGCAACAACAGTGAGGGTTTTTTGTGGGTTGCCTTTGCAAATGTCACTTTTCTGGAAACTGCAAGCAATTCCATACCAACTATTGTATACAATGGAACACAAAGCTTTGCAGTCACAAAATTCATCTAAAAGAACTGAGATTACTGTTTCAACTGATCCTCCACTGATAGCAATGTCCAACATTTTCTCAAACAGGTGGAGTCAGGAGGAGGTTCTTTTCAGAAGTCAGAAGTTCAGGGAAAAATTGCTATTGTTTGTGATGGTCAATTCACAGTGAGACTACTGTTGCAGTGGTTACAATCAGTACCGTATATTGGACACTGAAAGGAACCAAAACTGAAACTCGGATGCAAAATATTAAATATAAAACAACTTTGAAGCATCCAGTTTGTGGTAAACACTTCACTGAACCCATCACATAACCACCACCTGTACAATTATATTGCATATCGTCATGGAAATATTGCATATGAGTGTACAAAACATCATCACCATCATGAAGTGAGTTTTCACTTAAGTCAGTTCATTGTCCATTTGGCTTTTCTAGGCACGACGTTTAAGAAAAAGAATAATAATAAATGCATTGGTACTATCAAGCACTCAAGCCTATCTCCCCTCCACAATCAAACGAAAAGAAGCCGCAGGCATTTGAGCAAGTAACAAAGCTTTCAATATGTACACCAACTGTACACTATACACAGAAAACAGATATAGCCGAAGAAGCCATAGAAATATTTACAAATACAATGGAAGCACAGTTTGCTGGGACTCAAGTTTGTTGCTAGTTTTTTCCCCAAACTAGAAAACTAAGCAAGCTTCTACATTTAGAGACTTGATATTTGGGATGATCTAAATCAGTGATAATCACCAATTCTGATGACTGAAAATTACGGGGGCCTCAACACAAGCTGATCCATTCATTACCCTGCTTCAATGGTATGGTAGTTTGTCTAGGCTCCATCACGACGCCTCTTCATCAATGCAAGACCACGCTCTCAGATGAGCACGTCTTTCACAGTCCTCTTCCCTTTCTTTTCCGCGAGACCCAGTTAGTGACACCACCTCACTCATCGCCCCCTTCATCATAGCATGGCCTCTGAGGGCCCTGCTTTCTTCCGCCTCTCCTTGGACCCCTCCCGTTGCTTCTTTTCCTTCTTGGACCCCTTCCGGCTGTTCCTCTTTTGCCTCTTGGCCACAGGGGGTGGCTGCTGACCTGACATCTCTCCCAACCCGTCTGAGCCCGGGGTGCGGTGACCCTTCTTGGGCTTTCGTTTCTCCTGCTTGGGCGCCCTGTTCTTGTTCAGGTGTCTGAGTTTGGATGGAGAGGGCTGGCTCTCAAACGAGACTGGCCCATCATCTCTTTCCACCTCTTCACAGCTTTCAAGATCCAGGCCATCTGTGCTATAGTTTTCGTCCTCGCTTGCAGACTGACCCAGGTCAAGGGTCACCAGATTAACGGTTAGATCTTGCCTGGAAAAAAAAATGTGAAAAGAAACAAGTTGAGATAATGCTAAGATGCTTTAATATCAAATTCTGTCCTCAAATTCACTGGACCAAGTCTCACAATATGAATCAGAAATCTACCCTAATATTGGTCTTTCTTCTTACAAGTACTTAAATGTCTAAAATTCAGAACTTCAAAACTCATGACGATCTCACTGCCTCTGCCATGAGATGAAATCTCGTTTCGCTTTCACAATTTGTGCATTTTTTCCTCAAGACTAAGAGTTTTTTCTCTGCAGAAAAAAGCAAGACTGAGAGCTCCCTTAATAACTGTTTGTGAGAATACAAGTCAAAAACCAAATTTTAGTCAATCAAAATATAAAATGTTTGGAGGCAACTCAAAGCAAAATATCAAAACAAAACTGATGTATAAAAAATTGAACAGGAGAAAAAAATCAATATCTGGTGTACACAAGCTCCACGTACAGGAATAGTTATACTAAAACAAGATCGGTCCTTCCAAGAAACTTTAAATAAAACCTGGGACTGACTTTTCTTTCTCCAGTGTTCGTATTCTGTCCTTGAGCACTTCCTCCAGCTCTGTATGTCCATCGCTCGTTGTCCTACCGGCATCCTCGCCGACCTCTTCAACCTCCCCACCCTGCCTTTCGGTGGGCTCCTCCACCCCCTCCGGGACAGTCTTGCTCTTGCGCAGGTCCTGCTGGCTGAGGGTGTCCTTCTGCTGGGGGGACGGGCAGAAACAAGAGCTCAGGTTAAGCCCCATGGTTCAAGAAGGAGGACGGGGGGAAATAATGGATGATCTGTCTTTCCGAATGCCACCGCTCGGGGAAAAAAAAATCAGTCTGGGGATTGAGTTCTCCCCACCGAACGTTTATCTCTTGAGGTCACTGAGTTCCAATAGCACAAAAGCAGGCAGATCCTCTTGATTTTTGTATAAGTGAAACGCAGTAGATACTGGTGCTAGACACAGTCACGTATCTGTGGCAACGTCCCGTGCACACTATTGCACTATTTTCTAGCTGGGCAGCAAAACCTTAACCACAGTCCAAAGTAAGAGAATGCTGTTGACTGTGATATCCAATGTTGGCAAACAGAAGTCTATGGATCTTTCCGACGTGATTGTCTTGTTTAACATTAGCAGTGTACATGCATGGTCTATGGCACTTACTGTACCAGGAGGCACAGCAAATGCGATGTTCTGCAATACACCACGATTTGAACCACACTCTGTCTCGTCTGCAAGCAGAAGTCTGATGTACCGCAGATGACCAACAATAATGAACCAAAGCTATGAGTATCGCAGGAACTCAACAGCCGTTCACCACCAATCGCAATCACAACTTTACACGTACTGAGCAGTTTCTCTAGTACTGACAACAACCTGATACCAAGTCCAGAAATGGCAATGATCATACCACCCCACATGCACATCTCATAAAGGCAAGAGTATGGGGAAAAACCACAACCGTCCTCACTGCCTATAAAAACCAGAGATGACGCTTATTCACAAAGCACATTAGACACAGGCACTGTTTCAAAACCTCCCAGAAAACAGGTTGATACCGGAAAGGCAGAGTAGCTAAACAGGTTGTGAGTGCTTCCTTCCTCCAAATGTTTATTTCCTGATTTGACAAGACAAGGACAGGACAGAAAAAAAGAGGGGGGAAATGCAAACAATACGGGGAAGAACCAGTCTTGGCAATTTTATCTTCTTCCAGGTGGAAGTCCTAGTGCAATGACACACCAGCTGTGGTTGGGTACTGGACACATGTACCAAATGTACATCGAGCAAGCTCTCCAAATATGGAACGTACAACCTCCGGATTGAAGGGTCACGAAAAATCTCATCAGGAGAGCTTTCAATATCAAGTGATGCATAGAACAAAAGTAGAATTTATCCCTGAACTCCCCAAATATGGACACAAAGAATACAGTGAAAGGAAGTTCAGTCTGGGGAAACCTTTCAAATCTTTAGTGCTGATGAAAAAGATGTAAATTGTATGATGTGTAAGGCCAGCTACATGTGTAATACACAATGAAACATCAAACAAACTGGTTTCAGAATTCCTTAGGAGATGATGCACAGTGCAGTGGATATACTTGTGGGGGTTCTTTGTCTTCCTCCTTTTTTTCCAACTTTTTTTTACTCCTGTACATCCCTCCTGCATTTATTTATTATTTATTGACTTCAATTACATCTATCTATATTTAATTTCGGTCACAGACTATCAAAACTATAAGCAGCCATATGAATATGCTTTGTCACCATCGCTGTATTCAGACACTACACGTACATGATGCAACATCTATTATACGACTGAGTATATGACGTTGCTACAACTTGGAGTATGACTTGGTACCATTAACCTCATAACTAAGTTCCTGGGTGGCACAACTTGTGTAAAGCATGAGCAGAACACACCAAAAATAGCGTGTTGTTATCCTGAGATATTGAAATACGTTGGGTTTGATTCTTTCCCACGCAAGGGAAGTGCGAGTAAAAGAAAAAAAAAACAGATAACAGGAAACTTTACATACATATTTAGGGCACTTTTAATGAGTGATGAATTAATTGGACCATGATGGGTATCACAAAGTGTTGATCTCTATGTTCAATTAAAACAAAGACGTTTTCATCACAGGCCTTCATCTGAAAATCCCTGCACTCCTCTTACATACATGTTTACACTGTTTAGATTTACTAAGTTAAACACACTCGTGTGTGACACAATTGTATCCTCTGTCTAATCCCCAATGTGCGCCAATGTTGTATTGGTAGTGCAACAGGGGTGGTTCCTGACTATCTGATGAGTGCCTCAGACCACAGAAAAAACAGCAATGATGAAATATTCAACAAAATGAAAGTAGGCTCTTGCATGTTAACAGGAAACCTTACTCACTGCATTTTAGAGTAAAAGTAGAAACAAGCAAGCAACGTACTGCAATTGTAGGATAACTGCTATTCCAGAGGATGTCTGTCATAAATGCTCTCTTTAAAGTTTAGTGGATTTCCTTGTCAGGACAATGAAAGCCAAATGCATTGACGCTAACCTTGTGATCCCCATTTGTGCTTGGTCACAAGACTGGATTTTACCAATGTTCAAAAATAAAATGACCAACAAAACCAGCTGACCATTAACACAAACAGCTCCAGGAAAGTTTATCCTGCCACCTCAGTGAATGGAGGAACAACAGACGGAGCGGCATACACGTAAAAGGAAACCACATGTCCATGACTAACACGCTACCCTCCCATTGTGGCTGATTTCAGTGCATCTTATGTATGACCAGCGTTCACAACCAAATGACCATGGCATCAACCAAATTTCGATATGATGCAAGTTTCCACAAGTGAATGAACTGCTCACAGCAATAAAAAGGTGACAGTAACCTCATTAACCTGCTGTATCAACCAGTACTAAAATAATCCCAGAACAAAAGATCATCTCTTTTAAATAACTTAAATCCTTTTTTTATATCGGCAAAACTATTTAAGTTTATT